TTTGATGATTTTCTCGCATGTTTAAAAATAGATTTGAAGGGAATTTTATACAAGACACTAGTTGCTAACAGCAATTCCATTAGCCCTTGGCATGCCATAGTTACGATTAGCTAGTTCGACTTTCATGAGCATCGTACTCACGTTTGTTATTCTTGGGTCTTGTGCTTGTGTTTGTTTCATGACTTCGAGCTACGTTTAGTTAGTATTATCCTCGTGGACTATGTGTCTACGTTTATTTCGTAGCTCAGGCTACGTTTAGTTACTTACCTTTGTGAACTGTGTGTCCACGTTTGTTTTGTGACATAAACCGCATTTAGTTATTTACTCTCATGGACTATGTGTTCATGTTTGTAAATTATTTTGATAAATCCCTAGAAATATGACTTTTTAGTTGGTGATTTCATATTTAATGGTTTTCAATTAGTAAATATTGTTATTATTATTTATTATTTAATTATTTTGATTTGTCAAGATCAAATGTTAAAGTTGTTTTATCACTATAGATTTAAATATTTTGTTATTGAAGTTATATAGATTTTTATTTTAAGTAGACCAATTTGCTTACATTGAATTTTTTTCTCATGAAATTTATATAATTATTGTATTTTATTCATTATGATTCTACAAAATATTATGGTTGGGATGTTATTCAATGAAAAGTTATTTTGGCCTCGTACAGCGTAGCTAACACTGTACGTCTTGCTTTCTAATGAGGGATTTTCTACTGAGCTCGGTGGAGATTTTTTCTGTAAATATGAATTTATGAATTATATCATGAAAAATATGACTTAGTGCTCCACATAGACCATAGTTAGGATCCTAATTCTCTTTGTTATATTGTTTACCTATGGCTATGGAGTAGAGCTTCGTATTGCTGGATATAAATTATAAAATTTTTGTTGTAGAGATTTCGGAAGATTCTACTTATATGGGAGGTGCTGGAAAATTTTTTACAAAAAGTTTGATATTTTGATTATATGAAAAATAAAATTTGATGTATATAATCAAACTAATGGTAAATCATATGTATTAATTCAGAATTTTCTTTAATTGAGGCCGTAAGGGGTGTCCGTTTAAGTGCACATTCTGTGCCAGTTACTCCCATATTTTAGGGCGTGATAGAAAACTTTACGCAGCCAACTAAGCATGCCTATGGAAGACCACTCATGACTGGGTAGCAAATAAAAATTCAACTCTAATTGAATTAAAAGAAATCTTATGTGAAATGAACAATTATCCAATCCCTAATCCTAATCTCAGATACACCTCACTTGGTCCTATTCCCCACTAACCCATCCTTCATAATGATCCATTTCCAACTGTCCACTATGAATTCCTAGATTGGTTTGCGAGTCTTGCTGTTCAAATAGGATACCCACATGGATGGAATCCTATAAGAAAACATCATTATTCACTCCTCCATTATTTCCTCCAAATAGCCAGGACCCATATGAGATAGAGACACAAACCTACTAGTTATTTCAAGAATTAAAAGACATGCCTATCCTTGGACCCTCTAAGCCTATGGAAGAAGATTTTGATGAGGACTAGCTTATCCTCAACACTCCCTCTACTAGGTGGCACTGAAAGGAAGAAAAGAATTGGCTTAATCTCTCATCAGATCATGAGAGCATCCATAAAAGCCTATGATGAATGATGGAATCTATTTTATGTCCCATTTTTCTAGAAGTTGGTTTGTCTTATAATAAACTTTGTCAAAAGTTACTTTTGACTTTTTGACAAAGGTGTCAGCATTAGTCATGTTACACTTTTACTTTATGTTAGACCTTGTCTAAATTAGGTATGCATGTAATATTAGTTTGTCTCCTTGTAATCATGAAGAGAGGGTCTTGATCCTCCTCCTCTAATCTATATAAGGAGGACTCAGAAATTTTGTAAGATAGAGCTGGTTAAGCAATAAAAATTTCGTGTGTTTTCTTAAACATGTCTCTAAACTCTCTCCTTTTTCCTAAAAGCTTGATTCCCTAATATCTTACTTTTGTCAAACTAAGATTCAAGTATGCTCTGCACTTGCTTCTCCATGAGAACCCTATGCATAAGAAAGAATACAACCTACAATCCATGTGTGTGAGCCTATGTCACTACATTTAGAGAACTGTAGGTTAAGCTTTTAAAGGGTTAAGGATCTTAAAGTGGCCCGTGTTTGCTCATAAGAGGTGTTGAGGGGCCTTACCTAGATCAATATACTCTGAGACACTAAGACCTAAGGGTCTTTGGGACTAGGTGTACATAAGTCCCGTGCCCATGGTAGACCAAGCTAAGCATATAGAAAGTAATTCAACGTGATACATGTTCTGGCTAGAAGTGCTAAATTATATTTACACACACAATAAAGTTTGACAATAAAATTTATTACCTTCCAAAGCTTATTACTTGCTGTATACATTCAAGAGCCAGAACGTGTATGACACCGAATTTCTGAGAATCAAATCTTGTAGAAACTATGGAACTTGCTGCAACATCACCCTTGGTATAATTTGCTATTAGCTTTGCTCACTTTCCCGCTAAGCATTTCTAACTATTACCCTTAATTGCTATTTATCAATTTCAATTCTTTTTTTTTTTTGCCAGCAATTTCAATTCTTTTAGAATAATGATAGACGGTCGTGATTAGAATAAACATATTTCATAGGTTGTGATATACTCTTCTATGATATTTGTTGTTCTCTTCCACTACTTTAAAAAATCCGTACATTTGAAAAGAGAAAAGAGAAAGAGAAAGCACGTACAAATAGAAAGAGTACATAGATAATTATATGAAAAAGCGAATTCCAATGTAATTAAGGAGCATTTTTTGTGTCGTTTTCCCTTCCAATACATAGAAGAGAATGGAATTTAGAAGATTGAATTCAGTCTTCCGGCATATATTATCGGCCGCTATATCTTGTAGGAAAAAGAATTTAAAGTAACAAGAATGGAATTTATTGCTTGGAACATAAGAGATCCACGTTAAAGGCGATACGCAGAATCTGAATTATCGTCTCATATCGATCTCTTTTTAAATTGGAACAACAGAAAATGACCCCAAAGAAAACCTAATAAAATATGAAAATGATAATGAAGTCTTGCAAAATGTGATAGTTTCTCTTAAGTTCCAAGGGGCCTTTCTGACATTCATATCTTTTATGTAATAACAAAGTGCCCCCGTTCAAAATAAAAAAAGAAATGGATCAATGATTAAAAAATTTGTAAACTGGAACTTGTTATAATACGCTATCCCATTTAGTCCTTTCTGAAAAAAAAAAAAAGTAGTCATTATTTTAGCCAAAGTAGCTACTGATATTTATAATGCTTGGACTTCATTGATTAAAAAATCTGCATAGAGAGAGTCTTAATTACTTATCTTGTTTTTGTCATTGCAAGAAGAAAAAATATTCATTACTTAAACAAAAGTAACCACTGCTATTTACAACACATAGACTTTAGTGATTAAAAATTTGCAAAGCAAAACTTGTTATTTGCTATCCCTTTTTAGTCATTTTCAAAAGAAAAGTAGTCATTACTTAAACTAAAATAGTAATTGATATTTACAACATTTAGACTTCCGTGTTTAAATCAAAGGAAAAATCAATGGTAAAATGATTAAAAGGGAGTAAGGATAACAAGGATTTCAAAACCAATAAATTAGGAAAAGAAAATTAGGATAGTGAAATAAGGACAAGAACCAAAAATAATTACTCTACAGTAATCAAAAGCTTCAAAATTTAGCATCAAAGTGCCTTATCAAGTAACTCATAGAGTTTTAAGTTAGAGAACTTTACCTCTAAAAATTTTTTAGAATGAAGATTCTTGGCCCTGGAAAGATTTTGAAGGGAAAAAGAAATAGAAAATAGAGTGATGTAAAGAAACAAGATCTCTAGAATGAAATGTCATGGCTCAAGGGAGAAGATTTTGCTTTAAAAGTGAATTTGGTAGTACAAGCGAAGCGAGAACCGGGCTCTAATGGCAATGAATGTAGAACGGGAAAGGGAAAATGGAGAAAAGAATATAGGAGATAGAAAGAGAGCATAGAGAACTAGAGACTCAAGAGTGGAAAACAATAGCAATTATTTTCATTGAAAGGCGTGTACAAAGCAAAAAACTTAAAGTGTTATTTACAGGCTTTAACCTAATTCTAAAATTAAATACATAAATATTCTAGAAATCCTAAAATTAAATGAAAATATTCTTAAAAGATGATAACTGAGGAAATCCTAAAAAGATAACAATAATATTAAATAATGTAAAATTACAATAACTAAAATGAAATTGCCCTCAATCATAAAATTTATTTTCAATATCTTTCTAGAAAATTCCCAAATCTCTCAACAGGTTTTCTTATTCCCACCACATTTGTTTTCTATAGAATACTTATTTATGATTCTCTAGGTCTTTTTTTTTTTTTGTCAAAGTTAACTTTTACTAATTGTATGAGCAACATTGGATTAATTTCAATTGTTAAAGGGGAACATTATACAATAAGAAATTTAGAATAATATATACTCCTAAATAGATAGTTTAAAGGTAAAATTGCCCTGAACTTTATAATATTAAGAGTTAAAATCTACAACTTATAATGATTTTTATGTGATAATCATTCAATAATTAAATCAAAGCTTGTAAAAAAAAAAAAAGAAAGAAAGACACATCTCACAATTTTCAATTCACGAGAATTTCTAACAAATATGCATGAAAGATGTAAAAAGCAATCCTCAGTTTAATTTTTTCACAAAAAGACACATGAAACCACCAACACAGTAAAAAAAAAATAATGTTGAAATATATCTCAAATACAAAGATACAATATTGTCGGAAACTGTATACTAATATCATTAAACCATAACAACAAGCAGCCTTATTTTATTATGTGGAGTCAGCTATATGGAGATTGCATGACGTCATTATTCACTTGTATAACACAAACCACATGAGGGTGAATTCTAATTGTATAAGCAAACCAGTGAAGGATATGATTTTAGTAAGTGGCCGTTAGGAGGAGGCTAATCCATCTTGATCTTACCCCTTAATTCCCTCATGAGGGTGACAATAGTGAGAAAAACCCCAAGCACAGCCGATATTAAGCCTATGATTTTCCACGGGGTGTTGAAATGCTTGAGTCGCAATTCAGTTAACCAAATGCTCACTTTTTTTTTGTAAAGTTGCTCAATTTCATCTGTCACATTCTTATACTTTCCTGTATAAATCACCAAGTCAGTGCTTACTGTGTTGAAGATTTTTGCCACTTCCTCATCGCTTCCAAGAAGGTTGTTCAGAACCCTAGCTTTCCTTAACTCTTTGACATCATCTGCGTGATCAATCAAGGAATTAAGGAACCACACATAGTTACTGATCTCGTAATGGTTCTTGAAGTCTGGGCACATCTCGTACGCTATCATGTTCAAAAATGTTTGAGCTGTGAAGTCATCCATAGTGAGCCGAGAAAGGTAGAGCTTCAGACCGTCAACATGGATGTTTGTGAGACTTTGGTTAACGTTTTCCTTGATTTTAAAGCCTGCTGTTAAAAGTTCCTGTATGTTCCTATGTGTTTGCAACTTTTTCTTGATATTTTTCTTTCCCTTTGATGACTGGTCATTGGATGGCATTCCTCCTATTAATGTATGATCCCCCTCTTTATTACAATCTTCAACCACGATCATTATGCGCAGAAGATCCAGCAAATGGTGTGGCTCACGCAGAGTTGTTTTCTCTGACTTGATGATGCCGCGCAAATCAAGAAAACTTTGTATGAAACCTATCATTGTAGAATTGTCCCTCTTGGTTAAAATCATCAACACCCTATATGGAAGCTGGTTCTCCAACAAAAGCAGATCATGCAGTAAGATAGTGTCCTGTGCTTCTAATTTTGATTCTTTCACTTTGTCCATGATATGAAGTACAGCACACCCATCTACAAAGAAGATCCAGGCAAGTTCATTGTTGTCGAAGCATTGAATCGCATCCTGAGTGTAGTACTCCTTCAATTTGTCCATTTCATCCTGAATCTTTTCCACTAGACGCTGAGCATCTTGCTTGTCTAGGTCATGATCATCCAGATACGTTGATGCCCATATTTTCTTGTACTCTTCTCCTTGCTTAACATTCAATCTTGTTCCTTTCAATTCTTTTGATGATGAATGGGCCGACGTTTGTGTCCCTTGTGCTCCATCACATTTGAAGTGATGAATGGGACCAATTGATACCACCTTAGGAAAGTAATACTTGTCAAAGTCAGATCTTTGTCGAAGATAAGATGGCACCTGTTAAAGGCATGAATAGTCAGTCACTCTTGATTTCTGGGATTTTTTAGTCTAATTTTCTGGAATGAAATCTTCGGTGAAGAAGAGGACCTAATTTTTTGAACTAGTGATGCTTGGAATATATAACCTGACGTGGATGCTATCATGGCAAGCCAACAAGGCAAGCAACAGTCAAATTTTCAAAGTAGCAGAAAAATCGGTTGATTAAAGGCTGATGACAGGACAATATTGTACCAAATTGAAGAACATTGAGGTGATATTGCACCCAAAACTATAGAACAGCTTTCTTTATTTCATATATCAAAACATGTGACATCGTGATTAAGGCGTACGCATATGTTTTGTGTATTTTCTTTGTCAAAAAAACGATCAACCTGAATTAATGATCAATTAGCAATAATGCCACAAGTCACATAAGTTTATCATGACTTGCTAACTAGAGTGCATTCATGAGTTAACAAAATATGTCTTAGCATACACTATAATGGTCAACATTGAAACAGAATATACATGTTTTGATTAAGGAAATAGGAGGATAAAATGGATTCCATTCAACTTGCCAACTAAGGACTCATCGGATTATTGTAAATCAGTGATATTGTCACGGATTATTTATGTATATCATGGCTAGTTCATAGAACTGATTGACCAATACTTGATAACCTATGACAGTATAAACAAAGACAGCCTGTGGTAGCACCACTTGCTAGTGATCATCATTAGCACATACTGGCAAACTTTTTTATTGATGAATACCTAGCTAGCAAGTCATGTGATACCTTAAACATGGTGGTGACATATTTAATTTGGTAACAATAAATGTATAGGGGGATGTCAATTGCTTCATGTTATTGAACTTCATGGTGTCAAATTTTATTTCTCCATAAATACTTTAAGGCAAAATAAATTGTAATGACCTTAAAATTTAAAAAAAATAATAAAAAAAATAATAATAAAAATAAAATTTTTATTATTATTTCCCAATTTATATTTTATTTAAATTTATTTTATGGAAAATGGAAAAGGGTGAATTAGTGAAAATTATATTAATAGCTTACTTGAAGGTTGGGCTCTCTTTTGTAAGTTTTGCAATTTCTTAAAATTCAAATTTATATTTCTCCTTCAGTCAGATACACAGGCACTGCCTCTTTCATTTTTCTTTCTCCTTCTTCAAAAATTCCAGAAACCAGAGAGACCGCCTCTTCTCTCCCTCTGTTCTTTCGGCCTTCGTCCTTGCCGTCGCCGGTGTGAGTGTGGGCCAGAGAGAAAGTCGAGAGTTTTGGTCCTTTGTTCTTCTCCATCCATTCCCTTCCTGTGTTTCTGAAGTGTGCGAGTGAGGAGCTCGGCTGCTCAGTTCGTCGCTGATGTCGGTGTTCGCTATGAATCCGCTACTGTCAAGACCCGAAGTTGCGAGTTCGTCCTTCATGTAATGGTCATGCCTGAATCTCTCCCCTGTTTTCTCGTTACTGAATCCTCCTTTTCCATTTTTTCTTTGATCTGTTACCGGTGCTCGAGTGAGAGAGGAACCGGAATTCTTGATCTCTTTCACCTTCTCCTTTCCTTCCTCGATTGCCTTCAACATTGTGAATGAGTTTGTGAGCTAGAATGCCATCCGCCGCTACGGAGATCTAATACATGATTTCTCCTACTCCTCTATTTCGTGACGCTCTCTGAGCTCTGTTCGGCTGGCTGTTGTGCGTGCATGAGGATCTCTTTCTTCCTCTTCCTTGTTCGAACAGCAGTGTAACCCTTTTACTCTTTGATATTATTGATCAAAGGTATGGATTTTTAAATCTCTTTCTTCCTCCTCGGTTCTGTATGTGTGTATGTGTTAGAGATTGAACTCTCTTTCTTGATGGTCTTGTGTGATTAAGTGCGTGAGTTTATGATGGAAGCCACAAGAATTTCCTTTCCCTCTGTTACTGCTGCATGTAACCATTTATGTTGGACATGAGTTTTTTAGGAGAAGATTTGTTAGGGTCTATATGAGGCTTGGATAAAGAATTAAGGAAAGCAAGAAGCTTGTCACACTAATTTTCTCTTGCACATACAATGTTTGACTGAATGATTGAGTGAAAATTTTATATAAATGATTGTTTAAACTTTACCAAATTAATTCTAATTAAATTTTAATGTTTAGGTCACTTAGTTTTTTTATATATACAAATATGTTAATATGTGTTGTGTGAATATGTTTATGTGGCTAGGATTGTAGACTCTCCTTTATTGCTTGTTATGATCCTGCACATGCCTGAGTTGTGAGAGGATTTGAATAAAAATGAAGATGGTTTGATCTGATGGTGTATAGGTTAGAGTTTGAACATGTTAGGTGAAATTTTGAAACCGTTAGAGTAGTTTGGGTCTTGAAGCACAGAGGAACAAGGAAGAAATTTGTTATACTTGATGATATTTATGATATTGAATTAAAGGTGTTATAAGATCGGTTGTGGTTGTATAAGGTAAGGAATATTATACTGTTTTGAATAATGTGTACTTTATGGAGAATTATCAAAGAGCCTTAAGGATAAATCATTTATCAGTTACTAAAGGAAGGAGGCATGGTTGAGATGAATATGTCATTATAGGTGGGAGAAAGGAATAGAAAGAATATAATTCTAAATATGGATAGTGGATTAAGGACAAATAAGAATTGAGGACTTTAAAATTGTTCTAGATTACATATTAGGTTCACGAATGTCAGTTAGAAATATATGAATTGGAGTTCTTATTAAAGAAAGTTGTTTATTCTTTTGATCTAGGTAATAGCATAGCTAAAGGAAAATGGAGAGGCATTTAAAAAGCACATATTATTATTTTGGAATTATCAGGTAAGTGGATAGCGTCCCAACTGATATTTCATTAAAATCTCTTTTATTCAAATATTACATTTTTATGCAAATTCTTTTTACGACAACAATGTGATTATGAGATATTTTGTTTACTAAATTACTTTATTTCATGAAATTATTTTACCAGAATTGGTCATTTTAGTTAATTAGTAAATACAATTTTGAATTTTAATTGTGGAATTTCAATTTGAAAATTTTTGAATTGTTACGGAAAAACAATTCATGTGAGTTCGACATTGAAAAGAAAAATTTGTTTGAATGGTGATCAATTTCTCACATGTTTGAAAATGATTTGAAAAAGGGACTTTATATAGAACACTGGTTGCTAACAGCAATTCCGTTAGCCCTTGGCGCGCCAAGGTACACCTAGCTAGCAGGGTGTATATAGGAGGTGCTAGCCCCGTGCGATGGCCAACACACGTAGAATGGAGGGATGGTTATTTGTGAGCATCATACTCACATTTGTTTCGTGGCTTCGGCCGTGTTTGGTTACATACCCTCGTGGACTATGTGTCCACGTTTGTTTCGTAGCCTCAGCTGTGTTGGTTACTTACCCTCGTGGATTGTGTATCCACATTTGTTTTTGTAGCATAAGCCACGTTTGGTTTTTTATATTCGTGGACTGTGTGTCCACGTTTGTTAATTATTCTGATAAGTCCCTATAATTATAAATCTAATTATTTGAGGATTTTATATTCCATTGATGTTACTCAGCAATTTGTTTATAACTATTTATCTCATTTATGTGTTTTCTTGGAAGCAATTCCTATTAACATTCGCTATGATAGTTCAATGATTTAAGATTTAATTTTAAAAAATAAAATTTATAAAGTTATTCTATTTTAAATTTATTACATTTTTTCTGAAAACTATTATCTCTTTGACTCACAATTATTTTAAACTTTCCTTTTTATTCAAGTTCTGTTATTTATTGTTGGGACGTTATTTATTGGAAGTTATTATTTTGATCTCAGATGGTATAGCTAAACTCATGACTCGAGATATCTATTGAGGAGTTTTATTGCTGAATTGAAGCGGAAGAGTTATTTTAGTCAAAACTTAATTTGCTGAAAAAATTTGAACTTTAAACCTACGTTGGTGTCTGGCCTAAGGTGCTCCACGTAGATTACAGGTAGGATCCTCACATTTCTTTTAAAATTTAATATCTAATTTAGTATTATAATAATTTTTAATTAGTCTATTAGTGTGTTTGACGTATTAATTTCAGAGTTTCTTCAATCACGGCCTAAAGAATATGAGTTTTGTGCCCATATCCCGTGCCGGTCGTACCTAATTTTTGGGGTGTGACATAAATTCTCCTCGTTATAGTCAATTTGAAGTAAATAATCAACATCGTTGTCTGTTAGTCGAAGAACAACAGTGCAATAATTTTGATATATGAAGAATGTCATTGCTCTAATAAATAATTTAATATAGCATATGCTCCTCACGAAGCATAATTCAAGAAGGACAAAAATGCCACATAACCCACATATCGATTTCTAGACATACAAACTCTATTTTATATATATATATAGAGAGAGAGAGAGAACAGAACCTTTTGTATCTTGGGCGGGTCACCAGAAAATAAGATTGCCAGCGCTCTCCCCGCTGATGCCGATCTAGTAAACCATTTAATTTACCTTCCAAATC